TTACTACCGAAGAAATGCTGATTAATTAATTTTCTTTTTATTAAAGAAAATTATTGTAAATATCGCCAAATTTTAAAAATACAATCTACGTTTCAGTAAAATGTTACATGTATCTATCCTTAAGAATTCTTAAATATATTCTTTTTTTTAACTTATCAATTGATGAGTCAGATAAAATCTGTGCGACATCTATTTCACATAAATATACCCCAAAAATTTTTTTCTCGGATTAAGCAATCTGTAATACCAAAATGGATGATGCACTGAAGACTCTTAGAACGGAAAATTAAACGTCTTGAATACTTCACTGAAACGTAAAAAAAAATAAACGTTGCTGTGTCTTTCCTTCCTGACTACACTACTGATGATGAGATACGGGTTACTTGAAGTCTCTAATATTCATGCCTGGTATGTTTCATCATTTCGCGCGCTATCATGATACCGAATACTACCTTATTCTTGTGCGTTTCTTTCCTGCTTTTCTTAACGTCAAACTCGCCCAAAAAACACATTACGTTATCGTAGAGCAACCCGTTTTCACCGGTAAATTAGTCAACATAATTTAATGAAGCAATGACATTACTCTTTTCATTCTTCTGATAGCCACTTATCAATCAACTTCCGTGGGAATCTCGCATATGGTAATGGGTAAATGGTACGTATATTATTGCAAAAGTATTATGATTTCTAAACGCATATTCACGGGAATTGCTTTAGAGCTTGTCAAGTGGATCTGTCAGTGCGAATACATCAATCCTTTCAGAGATAGTGCAAGTTATGAAAGAAAACTCGGAAATTATGAAAAGAAGCTTGGATATACTGATTTGAAGTTGCCAAGTAAGGCTGTCGGGATGCAAAGCCTCCCACTTCCTATCTTTTATCACTAATCCTATATTCTGCACACTTTAGACTCTATAACGCGCGCTAAAATTTACAGAGCATTGTTTTTAATAAGGTTCAATTTGATTATTTCCTCGCTGAGACTATATACAAATAACCCAATGATTCAATCGATGACAGAGAAAAAGTTCAAAAATGGTTCAAAGATGTGATGGCTCGCTTGAACTCAAATTGGCAGAATAATATGGTTTTTAGGGAAACAAAATATACGCCATATCTCAATGGATACAAGCCGGGTCACAGTATTTTTGATATTGATGACATATCAAATGATGCATTTAATACCATAGCTGTCCAAACGATCCTGGATTTGAAGAAGCACAAGAGAACCATTGGATTTTCCGATGAAGAAAAAGGACAACTGGTGGACTATCTTCATATCCTTATGGAACAACAACCATCACGCAGATTATTCTTTGTATTTTTATCAGATATGACGTACTTTTATGTTACAGCCTTTGATAGGAACACTAGTCAGTATCAAGAATACCAAACTGATTTCAAGACAGGATTACGTCTATTTAGTACATCGATTTATCGAAATTCAGGCGTAAAAATATGTGGACCTACAAGCGTCGACTTTGTTAATCCAGTATCTTCAAGTCGCACAAAACTATCAAAATAAGCTGTAGGAGTTCTAGGAGAGGGCTCATCTGTGAAAGTATATAATAACATTTGAATGATAGATCAGCTGCTATAAAAAATCTATGTATTACATAAATGTAAATCCATCCCGAGATCCACAAAGTAATAGTTTAAATTCATATTAAAGTTTTAATTCGTCTTTAATATCTATTCTATCAATTCATTTTGAGATTAATTCAGCATGTTTTTCTGTGATAATTTTTGAATCAATTTTAATTTTTTTAGTTAAATGATTTATCACTTGGACTATAGTCATTCTCCAAGAAACTTTTAATTAAATCTACATATAATTCTTTTCGCAATGCTTTCTTATGGGACCCGTTAATTTAATCGACAAACATTTTGCCAACGATCATTTTGCTAATGATCATTTTACCGGCACGATCATTATACCGACAACCACTTTTACCTACAATTACTTTACTGACATGATCAATTTACTGACATAATTATTTTACTAATATGATCATTTACCGACAACCAAATATTAATTATTTAAGGATAGCCCCTATTTAACGTAGATCAAACAACTCTTCTCTTTTCTATTTTTTTACTTTACTATTTTTATCTAACTTTCTCAATGAATAATATTATCTGTGAAGTTGTGCCTTCTATTCGTAATAAAGATAAACTTAATGTTCATGGTTATCTTATGATTAAAGACAAAAATCGAAGAAATTTATATTACTGGTCTTGTGAAAAACGTAATTTACTACAATGTCGTAGGCGGGCAACTACTAAATTAATTGAAGATCAACATTATCTTCAATATGCTTCTGATCACAATCATGCTGCAGAAGCCAGTCGGGTTAATGTTATAAAAACTATTAAAGTATTAAAAGAGCGTGCACAACAAACTAATGATAAACCTGTACAATTATTCAATCTACAATAGCTGATACTTCACAAGAAGTATATCCATACCTTCCATCTCACAATGCACTTCGTCAATCTATTAGAAGAATTAGAAATGTGAATTTACCTGCAGTACCAGAATCTTTAAGAGACCTTGTTATTCCTGAAAATTTAAAAAAAACCTTAGATGGTTCTGATTTTTTGGTTAAAGATTCTATAGTGGGTAATAACAGAATATTGCTTTTTATAACTATTGCTAATGTTAAACACTTGAAAAAGTCTTCTTTTTGGATTATGGATGGAACTTTCAAAACGGTACCAACTATTTTTAAACAATTATATACTATCCATGGATGTGTTAGAGGAAATGAAAATTCACGAATTATACCTCTTGTTTATGCATTAATGTCAAGCAAATCTGAGGAGTGTTATAAAAAAATATTTCAGGATTTAATTGATTTTAGTAATGAATAGAATATTGATCTGCAATCACAATTTGTTTTGACAGATTTTGAAAAAGCCGCTATTAATGCTATCCATAAAGAATTTCAAGGTGTTCAAAATAAAGGATGCCATTTTCATTTAGCTCAAAGCATTTATCGTAAAGTACAAGCTTTTGGACTTACTACTCAATATG